GCAGCGGCTCTATCGCGCGATGCCAGCCGCCTCTCAGATGTGCTGTTTGAACCCACAGCTGAAGTGATGCAGATACGGACTGCAGCTGTAGCTTCTGTCTGGGGCAGATACGGATAATATTTCTGTCCAAACGCAATTTAATCTGAGAAATCCAGCCGTGCTGATAATCTGAGTTTAAATGGATCTGTTTGAGGAACGGTCTTTCATCAGGTCTAGCTCTGGACGAGGCTGTAGACCAGGACTGAGGCTGTAGACCAGGACTGAGGCTGTGGACCAGGACTGAGGCTGTAGACCCAGGACTGAGGCTGTGGACCCAGGACTGAGGCTGTAGACCCAGGACTGAGGCTGTAGACCCAGGACTGAGGCTGTAGGACTGAGGCTGTAGACCCAGGACTGAGGCTGTAGACCCAGGACTGAGGCTGTAGACCCAGGACTGAGGCTGTAGACCCAGGACTGAGGCTGTAGACCCAGGACTGAGGCTGTGGACCCAGGACTGAGGCTGTAGACCCAGGACTGAGGCTGTAGACCCAGGACTATGAGGCTGTAGACCCAGGACTGAGGCTGTAGACCCAGGACTGAGGCTGTAGACCCAGGACTGAGGCTGTAGACCCAGGACTGAGGCTGTAGACCCAGGACTGAGGCTGTAGACCCAGGACTGAGGCTGTAGACCCAGGACTATGAGGCTGTAGACCCAGGACTGAGGCTGTAGACCCAGGACTGAGGCTGTAGACCCAGGACTGAGGCTGTAGACCCAGGACTGAGGCTGTAGACCCAGGACTGAGGCTGTAGACCCAGGACTGAGGCTGTAGACCCAGGACTGAGGCTGTAGACCCAGGACTGAGGCTGTAGGACTGAGGCTGTAGACCCAGGACTGAGGCTGTAGACCCAGGACTGAGGCTGTAGACCCAGGACTGGGGCTGTAGACCCAGGACTATGAGGCTGTAGACCCAGGACTGAGGCTGTAGACCCAGGACTGAGGCTGTAGACCCAGGACTGAGGCTGTAGACCCAGGACTGAGGCTGTAGACCCAGGACTGAGGCTGTAGACCCAGGACTGAGGCGGTAGACCCAGGACTGAGGCTGTAGACCCAGGACTGAGGCTGTAGACCCAGGACTGAGGCTGTAGACACAGGACTGAGGCTGTAGACCCAGGACTGAGGCTGTAGACCCAGGACTGAGGCTGTAGACCCAGGACTGAGGCTGTAGACCCAGGACTGAGGCTGTAGACCCAGGACTGAGGCTGTAGACCCAGGACTGAGGCTGTAGACCCAGGACTGAGGCTGTAGACCCAGGACTGAGGCTGTAGACCCACCCAGGGCTGAGGCTGTAGACCCAGGACTGAGGCTGTAGACCCAGGACTATGAGGCTGTAGACCCAGGACTGAGGCTGTAGACCCAGGACTGAGGCTGTAGACCCAGGACTGAGGCTGTAGACCCAGGACTATGAGGCTGTAGACCCAGGACTGAGGCTGTAGGACTGAGGCTGTAGACCCAGGACTGAGGCTGTAGACCCAGGACTGAGGCTGTAGACCCAGGACTGAGGCTGTAGACCCAGGACTGAGGCTGTAGACCCAGGACTGAGGCTGTAGACCCAGGACTGAGGCTGTAGACCCAGGACTGAGGCTGTAGACACAGGACTGAGGCTGTAGACCCAGGACTGAGGCTGTAGACCCAGGACTGAGGCTGTGTAGACCCAGGACTGAGGCTGTAGACCCAGGACTATGAGGCTGTAGACCCAGGACTGAGGCTGTAGACCCAGGACTGAGACTGTAGACCCAGGACTGAGGCTGTAGACCCAGGACTGAGGCTGTAGACCCAGGACTGAGGCTGTAGACCAGGACTGAGGCTGTAGACCCAGGACTATGAGGCTGTAGACCCAGGACTGAGGCTGTAGACCCAGGACTGAGGCTGTAGACCCAGGACTGAGGCTGTAGACCCAGGACTGAGACTGTAGACCCAGGACTGAGACTGTAGACCCAGGACTGAGGCTGTAGACCCAGGACTGAGGCTGTAGACCCAGGACTGAGGCTGTAGACCCAGGACTGAGGCTGTAGACCCAGGACTGAGGCTGTAGACCCAGGACTGAGGCTGTAGACCCAGGACTGAGACTGTAGACCCAGGACTGAGACTGTAGACCCAGGACTGAGACTGTAGACCCAGGACTGAGGCTGTAGACCCAGGACTGAGGCTGTAGATCCAGGACTGAGGCTGTAGACCAGGACTGAGGCTGTAGACCCAGGACTGAGGCTGTAGACCCAGGACTATGAGGCTGTAGACCCAGGACTGAGGCTGTAGACCCAGGACTGAGGCTGTAGACCCAGGACTGAGGCTGTAGACCCAGGACTGAGGCTGTGGACCCAGGACTGAGGCTGTAGACCCAGGGCTGAGGCTGTAGACCCAGGACTGAGGCTGTAGACCCAGGACTGAGGCTGTAGACCCAGGACTGAGGCTGTAGACCCAGGACTATGAGGCTGTAGACCCAGGACTGAGGCTGTAGACCCAGGACTGAGGCTGTAGACCAGGACTGAGGCTGTAGACCCAGGACTGAGGCTGTAGACCCAGGACTATGAGGCTGTAGACCCAGGACTGAGGCTGTAGACCCAGGACTGAGGCTGTAGACCCAGGACTATGAGGCTGTAGACCCAGGACTGAGGCTGTAGACCCAGGACTGAGGCTGTAGACCCAGGACTGAGGCTGTAGACCCAGGACTGAGGCTGTAGACCCAGGACTGAGGCTGTAGACCCAGGACTGAGGCTGTAGACCCAGGACTGAGGCTGTAGACCCAGGACTGAGGCTGTAGACCCAGGACTGAGGCTGTAGACCAGGACTGAGGCTGTAGACCCAGGACTGAGGCTGTAGACCCAGGACTGAGGCTGTAGACCCAGGACTGAGGCTGTAGACCCAGGACTGAGGCTGTAGACCCAGGACTGAGGCTGTAGACCCAGGACTGAGGCTGTAGACCCAGGACTGAGGCTGTAGACCCAGGACTGAGGCTGTAGACCAGGACTGAGGCTGTAGACCCAGGACTGAGGCTGTAGACCCAGGACTGAGGCTGTAGACCCCTGTTGTCCAGGCGACTTCCCCTAATCTTTCAGCCCCCATGTCGTCACAAAGCACCACTGAGCACAACCATTCCTTTGAATAGGAGCCATCTTGGATCATGGGGCTTTACCTCAGAGAACGTCCTCCTCCTCCTCCTCCTGCTCTCTGCTGAGGGCCTCCCTCTCCTCCTCCTCATCCTGCTCTCCTCCTCCTCCTGCTCTCTGCTGAGGGCCTCTCTCTCCTCCTCCTCCTCCTCCTCCTCTGTGCTGAGGGCCTCTCTCTCCTCCTCCTCATCCTGCTCTCCTCCTCCTCCTGCTCTCTGCTGAGGGCCTCCCTCTCCTCCTCCTCATCCTGCTCTCCTCCTCCTCTCCTCCTCCTGCTCTCTGCTGAGGGCCTCTCTCTCCTCCTCCTCCTCCTCCTCCTCTGTGCTGAGGGCCTCTCTCTCCTCCTCCTCCTGCTCCCCTCCTCCTGCTCTCCTCCTCCTGCTCTCCTCCTCCTGCTCTCCTCCTCCTCCCGCTCTCCTCCTCCTCCTGCTCTCCTCCTCCTCCTGCTCTCCTCCTCCTCATGCTCTCCTCCTCCTCCTGCTCCCCTCCTCCTGCTCTCCTCCTCCTCCCGCTCTCCTCCTCCTCCTGCTCTCCTCCTCCTCCTGCTCTCCTCCTCCTCCTGCTCTCCTCCTCCTCCTGCTCTCCTCCTCCTCCTTCTCTTCTCCTCCCGCTCTCCTCCTCCTCCCGCTCTCCTCCTCCTCCTGCTCTCCTCCTCCTCCTCCTGCTCTCCTCCTCCTCCTGCTCTCCTCCTCCTCCTGCTCTCCTCCTCCTCCTTCTCTTCTCCTCCCGCTCTCCTCCTCCTCCTGCTCTCCTCCTCCTGCTCTGTGCTCAGGGCCTCTCTCCTCCATGTTCTCCTTTAACACCTGTTTCTTAAACATGATTAAGGCAAACTGGTTTGAGGATGTTTTTATTTCTTCCTCTAAATCAGAGAAACTCCTCTTCATGATATTAGCTTCAGAGAAACTCCTCTTCATGATATTAGCTTCAGAGAAACTCCTCTTCATGATATTTGCTTCAGAGAAACTCCTCTTCATGATATTTGCTTCAGAGAAACTCCTCTTCATGATATTTGCTTCAGAGAAACTCCTCTTCATGATATTAGCTTCAGAGAAACTCCTCTTCATGATATTAGCTTCAGAGAAACTCCTCTTCATGATATTTGCTTCAGAGAAACTCCTCTTCATGATATTTGCTTCAGAGAAACTCCTCTTCATGATATTTGCTTCAGAGAAACTCCTCTTCATGATATTTGCTTCAGAGAAACTCCTCTTCATGATATTAGCTTCAGAGAAACTCCTCTTCATGATATTTGCTTCAGAGAAACTCCTCTTCATGATATTTGCTTCAGAGAAACTCCTCTTCATGATATTAGCTTCAGAGAAACTCCTCTTCATGATATTTGCTTCAGAGAAACTCCTCTTCATGATATTTGCTTCAGAGAAACTCCTCTTCATGATATTAGCTTCAGAGAAACTCCTCTTCATGATATTTGCTTCAGAGAAACTCCTCTTCATGATATTTGCTTCAGAGAAACTCCTCTTCATGATATTTGCTTCAGAGAAACTCCTCTTCATGATATTTGCTTCAGAGAAACTCCTCTTCATGATATTTGCTTCAGAGAAACTCCTCTTCATGATATTTGCTTCAGAGAAACTCCTCTTCATGATATTAGCTTCAGAGAAACTCCTCTTCATGATATTTGCTTCAGAGAAACTCCTCTTCATGATATTAGCTTCAGAGAAACTCCTCTTCATGATATTTGCTTCAGAGAAACTCCTCTTCATGATATTTGCTTCAGAGAAACTCCTCTTCATGATATTTGCTTCAGAGAAACTCCTCTTCATGATATTTGCTTCAGAGAAACTCCTCTTCATGATATTTGCTTCAGAGAAACTCCTCTTCATGATATTTGCTTCAGAGAAACTCCTCTTCATGATATTAGCTTCAGAGAAACTCCTCTTCATGATATTTGCTTCAGAGAAACTCCTCTTCATGATATTAGCTTCAGAGAAACTCCTCTTCATGATATTTGCTTCAGAGAAACTCCTCTTCATGATATTTGCTTCAGAGAAACTCCTCTTCATGATATTTGCTTCAGAGAAACTCCTCTTCATGATATTAGCTTCAGAGAAACTCCTCTTCATGATATTTGCTTCAGAGAAACTCCTCTTCATGATATTTGCTTCAGAGAAACTCCTCTTCATGATATTTGCTTCAGAGAAACTCCTCTTCATGATATTTGCTTCAGAGAAACTCCTCTTCATGATATTTGCTTCAGAGAAACTCCTCTTCATGATATTTGCTTCAGAGAAACTCCTCTTCATGATATTAGCTTCAGAGAAACTCCTCTTCATGATATTTGCTTCAGAGAAACTCCTCTTCATGATATTTGCTCCTGACGTTGTATCTAAAGAATGATGGTGACATAAATGCGGCGTCATGTACGAAGGCTTCACGGTGACCTAGCATTAGCGACATTAGCCTTCCGTTGGCAGTGGCTCAAAAGGACAGTGTCACCTCTGTCTCTGCTGCTTTTACACGGAGCCACTTTCCTGATTGGACACAAGCAAAATACATTTAAAACCAGGTTAAAGACAGTTCTGTTTAGCTGTGCTACAACTGAGGGATTTTATATTTTTATCTTTCTTTTTTAATTTTCTGTGATTATTTATGATGTTAATATTTCTTATTTTGTTCAGCACTTTGAATTGTGCTATACAAATAAACTTGCCTTGCCTACTGCTAATACTACTACTGCTACTGCTACTACTACTGCTACTTGTTGATACTACAACTCTAAAACAGTAGGTACCTGGAAGGCCAACGCAGATCAGAGATAAGTAATCTCTGGGATTACTTCTTCTACCACTTCTACTGCACAGAAACCTAAACCCAAGACTAACACTGGACCCAAGACTAACACTGGACCCAAGACTAACACTGGACCCAAGACTAACACTGGACCCAAGACTAACACTGGACCCAAGACTAACACTGGACCCAAGACTAACACTGGACCCAAGACTAACACTGGACCCAAGACTAACACTGGACCCAAGACTAACACTGGACCCAAGACTAACACTGGACCCAAGACTAACACTGGGATGGAGCTGATCACAGCCAGGGTCAGGGTCAGGGGCCTCACTCTGGACCAGGACCCACTCAGTCCCTCACTCTGGACCAGGACCCACTCAGTCCCTCACTCTGGACCAGGACCCACTCAGTCCCTCACTCTGGACCAGGACCCACTCAGTCCCTCACTCTGGACCAGGACTGACTCAGTCCCTCACTCTGGACCAGGACCCACTCAGTCCCTTACTCTGGACCAGGACCCACTCAGTCCCTCACTCTGGACCAGGACCCACTCAGTCCCTCACTCTGGACCAGGACTGACTCAGTCCCTCACTCTGGACCAGGACCCACTCAGTCCCTCACTGGACCAGGACCCACTCAGTCCCTCACTCTGGACCAGGACCCACTCAGTCCCTCACTCTGGACCAGGACCCACTCAGTCCCTCACTCTGGACCAGGACTGACTCAGTCCCTCACTCTGGACCAGGACCCACTCAGTCCCTCACTCTGGACCAGGACCCACTCAGTCCCTCACTCTGGACCAGGACCGACTCCGTCCCTCACTCTGGACCAGGACCCACTCAGTCCCTCACTCTGGACCAGGACCCACTCAGTCCCTCACTCTGGACCAGGACCCACTCAGTCCCTTACACTGGACCAGGACCCACTCAGTCCCTCACTCTGGACCAGGACCCACTCAGTCCCTCACTCTGGACCAGGACTGACTCAGTCCCTCACTCTGGACCAGGACCCATTCAGTCCCTCACTCTGGACCAGGACCCACTCAGTCCCTCACTCTGGACCAGGACCCACTCAGTCCCTCACTCTGGACCAGGACCCATTCAGTCCCTCACTCTGGACCAGGACCCACTCAGTCCCTCACTCTGGACCAGGACCCACTCAGTCCCTCACTCTGGACCAGGACCCACTCAGTCCCTTACACTGGACCAGGACCCACTCAGTCCCTCACTCTGGACCAGGACCCACTCAGTCCCTCACTCTGGACCAGGACTGACTCAGTCCCTCACTCTGGACCAGGACCCATTCAGTCCCTCACTCTGGACCAGGACCCACTCAGTCCCTCACTCTGGACCAGGACCCATTCAGTCCCTCACTCTGGACCAGGACCCACTCAGTCCCTCACTCTGGACCAGGACTGACTCAGTCCCTCACTCTGGACCAGGACCCACTCAGTCCCTCACTCTGGACCAGGACTGACTCAGTCCCTCACTCTGGACCAGGAGCCACTCAGTCCCTCACTCTGGACCAGGACTGACTCAGTCCCTCACTCTGGACCAGGACTGACTCAGTCCCTCACTCTGGACCAGGACCCACTCAGTCCCTCACTCTGGACCAGGACCCACTCAGTCCCTCACTCTGGACCAGGACCCACTCAGTCCCTCACTCTGGACCAGGACCCACTCAGTCCCTCACTCTGGACCAGGACTGACTCAGTCCCTCACTCTGGACCAGGACCCACTCAGTCCCTCACTCTGGACCAGGACTGACTCAGTCCCTCACTCTGGACCAGGACTGACTCAGTCCCTCACTCTGGACCAGGACCCACTCAGTCCCTCACTCTGGACCAGGACTGACTCAGTCCCTCACTCTGGACCAGGACCCACTCAGTCCCTCACTCTGGACCAGGACTGACTCAGTCCCTCACTCTGGACCAGGACCCACTCAGTCCCTCACTCTGGACCAGGACCCACTCAGTCCCTCACTCTGGACCAGGACCGACTCAGTCCCTCACTCTGGACCAGGACCCACTCAGTCCCTCACTCTGGACCAGGACCCACTCAGTCCCTCACTCTGGACCAGGACCCACTCAGTCCCTCACTCTGGACCAGGACTGACTCAGTCCCTCACTCTGGACCAGGACCCACTCAGTCCCTCACTCTGGACCAGGACTGACTCAGTCCCTCACTCTGGACCAGGACCCACTCAGTCCCTCACTCTGGACCAGGACCCACTCAGTCCCTCACTCTGGACCAGGACCCACTCAGTCCCTCACTCTGGACCAGGACCCACTCAGTCCCTCACTCTGGACCAGGACCCACTCAGTCCCTCACTCTGGACCAGGACCCACTCAGTCCCTCACTCTGGACCAGGACCCACTCAGTCCCTCACTCTGGACCAGGATTAGGGCTTGTTCTGAAATCTGAAAAGAGAAATGAAGATCCATCTGGATTTAACTTGTTTTAGCTGAAGGGAGCTGAGACAGGGAGCTGACCCAGGACCCAGGGTGTAGACCAGGACTGATTGACCAGGCTGTAGACCCAGGACTGAGGCTGTGGACCCAGGACTGACCCAGGACTGAGGCTGTAGACCCAGGACTGAGGCTGTAGACCCAGGACTGAGGCTGTAGACCCAGGACTGAGGCTGTAGACCTCTATAGTCTTACATGTGTCTTCTGTCATGTTTAGCCCCCGTCAGGCCAGATCAATGCCCAGCCTGACACGTCTGCAGCTAAAGTTTATTAAACCCGGCCCCCCCCAGGGCCCCCCAGGGCTCATAATCCCATCTCAAATTAAACATAAGAAAATTGCTCTGGGAGAGGGGCTTTCTTAACACCTCTCCACAACAGCTATTTATTACACACTAATCTACACGCTCTGACCCGTGCTGTGGATAAACATTTGATTAAAGCGCTCAGCTAAATGCTAATGTGCGGCGATATTAACCGGAGGGTAGACGTCATAAAACAGCCGGGCATCATGGGAATCATGGGCAAAGACGGGGGCGCTCACTCCGACAGGACTTTCCACACATCACAAAAAAACAAAAACATCACAATTGTCTGAAGATTTGGGATTTTAGGAGTACTTTTCTGGCTTCTCTTCAAAAATACATTGTGCTGTTACTGATCTACACACTTCTGGATAAAAGTACTACATAATAATAAACTTAACTTTCATAAATACTCATTACAGGCTAATTTTTTGGTTTGATTCTAAACAGAGATATACAGAGTTCAATTTAAAGCTGGGGGACCTCACTTTGTAACCAAAAGAGCACTAATCTGAAACTAGCCGAGTTTCTGCGTTCTCTAAACTAACATTAGACTGAGGCCCGGTTGATCCGGAGGCGCTGCGCAGACGCTGCTATGAACAGAAACAGCTCATTATGAACAGCGTTCATACGAGGATCAAAAACCATGTAGTTCTAGCGCCCGGCCAGTAGGGGGCAGAGGAACATTACAACACGACACACGTGAGCCCCAGCCCCCCCCAGCAGTATACTCACTTCCTCAACAACATCCTCCTCAGGCGCCGCAAAGATGGGAAAGAACCAACTTCATTCTTTAACAGCAGCTGTGAACCTGAACCTAGAGCTCCGCGTGGTCTCGTTTGGACCAAGGAGTAGAATCCTCCTCCGTTAGCGAAGCACACGTAGCTAGTTAGCTACCAGCCGCCATTGTTGTTTACGTTTATTCTACTGCACATGTCCAAATGTACGTGCGGGGAGCAGCGGGAGGTGCGGGTCAGAGCAGAACACCTTTTCAGGCGGGTGTGAAAGAGCGCCCCCTGCTGAGCATCTGATCTGTCCCACTCTGAGGCTGGAGCTGAACACTTATGTTTTCACCTGGAACAGTCTCCATGGAAACGGGAGGCGGCAACCGACATCAACTGTAGTTTTACTGCTGCTCCGTCTAAACCAGACCGAGACTGAGACGAGCCCGAGACGAGACCGAGACGAGCCCGAGACGAGCCCGAGACGAGCCCGAGACGAGACCGAGACGAGCCCGAGACGTGACTGAGACGAGACGGACGAGACAGAGACGAGACTGAGACGTGACTGGACGAGACTGAGACGAGCCGAGACGAGCCCGAGACGAGCCCGAGACGAGACCGAGACGAGACTGAGACGTGACTGAGACGAGACTGAGACGAGACTGAGACGAGACTGGGACGAGACTGAGACGTGACTGAGACGAGACCGAGACGAGACCGGGACGAGACTGGGACGAGACTGAGACGTGACTGAGACGAGCCCGAGACGAGACTGAGACGTGACTGAGACGAGACTGGGACGAGACTGAGACGTGACTGAGACGTGACTGAGACGAGACTGAGACGAGACTGAGACGTGACTGAGACGAGACTGGGACGAGACTGAGACGTGACTGAGACGAGCCCGAGACGAGACTGAGACGTGACTGAGACGAGACTGGGACGAGACTGAGACGTGACTGAGACGTGACTGAGACGAGACTGAGACGAGCCCGAGACGAGCCCGAGACGAGCCCGAGACGAGACCGAGACGAGACTGAGACGTGACTGAGACGTGACTGAGACGAGACTGAGACGAGACTGGGACGAGACTGAGACGTGACTGAGACGAGACCGAGACGAGACCGGGACGAGACTGGGACGAGACTGAGACGTGACTGAGACGAGCCCGAGACGAGCCCGAGACGAGCCCGAGACGAGCCCGAGACGAGACCGAGACGAGACTGAGACGTGACTGAGACGAGCCTGAGACGAGACTGGGACGAGACTGAGACGAGACTGAGACGAGACCGAGACGAGACCGGGACGAGACTGGGACGAGACTGAGACGCCCCCTGCCCTGCCTTGTCGCTCCTCCTCCCCCTCCCTTTCCCCCTTCTGCCCCTCCCCCCCTCCTCCCTCCCGGCTCTTCCTGCTCCCTCCTGCCCCCCCTGCCTGCCTTTCCCTCTCCCTAGCCCCTGCACCTGACCCCCCCCCCTGCTGCCTGCCTTTCCCTCCCTCCTCTCCCTCTTTGCGCCCCCCCCTCTCCCCCTCCTTCTCCCTCTCCTCCTTCCCCTGTGCCCCCCCCCCTGCCCCCCCTCCTGATCTCTCCCCCCCCTCCCCCCGCCTTCCTCCCCTCCCTCCCCCCCCCCTCCACTCCTCCCCTCCCTGTCCCCTCTCCCTTCCTCCTTTTGTTTGCCCCTTCTCTGGCCCCCCCTCCCCCCTCTCCCCCCTCTTCTCACCCCTCCTCCCGGGACTCCCCCCTCTCCCCCCCTCCCCTGACTCCCCCCTTCTCCCCTCCCCCCCCTCCCTGTTCCCCCTGCCCTCTCCCCCTGCACTCCTCCCCCCCTCCCCCCTCCCTCCGCTCTCCTCTTCCCCCCTTCCCCTCCTGACCCCTTCACCCTTCTCTCCCCTCTGTCCCCTCTGCCCCCCCCCCCCTCCTCCCCCCTCTTCCCCTCTCCCCCTGACCCCTCCTCCTCTTTTCCCCCCCCCCTCCCCCCCTGCCTTCCCTCTCCCCCCCCCTTTCCCTCCCCCTCCTCCTTGACCTCTCCTCTCCTCTCCTGCCCTCCCTCTCTGCCCCCCCGCCTGACCCCTGTCTCTCCCCCCCCCCCCCTACCCTGCCTTCCCTCTTCCTGGCCCCTTACTCCTTACCCCTTCCCCCTCCCCTCTTGCCCTCCCTCCCCCCCCCCCCCCGCTGCTCTCCTAGTCCCCCCTCCCTTCTCCCCCTCTTTCCCGCTCCCCCCCCCCCTTTCCCTCCTCCCCTCCCTGCTCCCTTCCTGCCCCTCCCCCGCCCTCTGAGCCTGCCCCTCTCCCCCCCTGTCTTGCCCCGCCCCCCCTCTCGCCCCCCCCCCCCCTGTCCGCTCTTGCTGTAGACCCCCTGTTGTCCAGGCGACTTCCCCTAATCTTTCAGCCCCCATGTCGTCACAAAAGCCACCACTGAGCACAACCATTCCTTTGTAATAGGTAGCCATTTCTTGGATCATGGGGCTTTTACCTCAGGAGAACGTCCGCCTCCTCCTTGCCGTTCTCTCCTCCTGCTCTCTGCATGAGGGCCTCCCTCTCCATCCTCCTCATCCTGCGCTCCTCCCTCCTCCTGCTCTCTGCTGAGGGACTCGCTCTCACTCCTCCCTCCTCCTCCTCCGCTGGTGCTGAGGCCTCGTCTCTCCCTCCTCCTCATCCTGCTCTCCTCCTCCTCCTGCGCTCTCTGCTGAGTGGCCTCCCTCTCCTCCTCCTCATCCTGCTCTACCTCCACCTCTCCTCCTCTGCTCTCTTGCTGAGGGCCTCTCTCTCCCCCTCCTTCCTCCTCCTCCTCTGTGCTGAGGGCCTCTCTCTCCTCCTCCTCCTGCTCCCCCTCCTCCTGCTCTCCTCCTCCTGCTCTCCTCCTCCTGACTCACCTCCTCACTCTCCGCTCTCCTCCTCCTCCTGCTCTCCTCCTCCTCCCGCTCTCCTCCTCCTCAATGCTCCTCCTCCTCCGCCTGCTCCCCTCCTCCTGCTCTCCTCCTCCTCCCGCCTCTCCTCCTCCTCCTGCCTCTCCCTCCTCCTCCTGCTCCTCCTCCTCCTCCTGCTCATCCTCTCCTCCTGCTCTCCTCCCTTCCTCCCTTCTCTTCTCCTCCCGCTCTCCTCCTCCTCCCGTCTCTCCTCCTCCACCTGCTTCTCCTCACTCCTCCTGCTCTCCTCCTCCTCGGCTGCTCTCCTCCTCCTCCTGCTCTCCTCCTCCTCCTTCCTCTTCTCCTCCCGCTCTCCTCCTCCTCCTGCCGCTCCTCCTCCTGCTCTGTGCTCAGGGCTCTCTCTCCCTCCATGTTCTCCTTTAACACCTGTTTCTTAAACATGATCTAAGGCAAACTGGTTTGAGGATGTTTTTATTTCTTAACTCTAAATCAGAGAAACACTTCCTCTTCATGCTATTAGCTTCAGAGAAACTCCTTCGTCCTGATATTAGTTCAAGAGGAAACTCCTCTTCCATGATATTTTGCTTCAGAGAAAACTCCTCTTCATGATATTTGCTTCAGAGAAAACTCCTCTTCATGATTGGGACATTGTGCTTCAGAGAAAACTCCTCTTCATGATATTAGGCTTCAGAGAGAAACTCCTCTTCAATGATATTAGCTTCATGAGAAACTCCTCTTCATGATTATTTGCTGTCAGAGAAACTCCTCTTCCATGATAGTTTGCTTCAGAGAAACTCCTCTTCATGATTATTTGCTTCAGAGAAACTCCTCTAAAAAACATGATATTTGCTTCAGAGGAAACTTCCTCATGAATGTATTAGCTTCACGAGAAACTCCTCTTCATGATATTTGCCTTCAGAGTAACCACTCCCTTCATGATAATTTTGCTTCAGAGTAAGTACTCCTCTTCAGGATATTAGCTTACAGAGGAAAACTCCTCCTTCATGATATTTGGCTTCAGAGAAAAAACTCCTCTTCCATGATATTTTGCTTCAGAGAGAACTCACTCTTCATGATATTAGCTTCAGAGAAACCTACCTCTTCTATGATGACTTTGCTTCAGAGAAAACTCCTCTTCATGATATTTGCTTCAGAGAAATCGCCTCTTCTATGATATTTGCTTCAGAGAAACTCCTCTTCATGATATTTGCTTCAGAGAAACCTCCTCTTCATGATATTTGCTTCAGAGAAACTCCTCTTCATGATATTTGCTTCAGAGAAACTCCTCTTCATGATATTAGCTTCAGAGAACTCCTCTTCATGATATTTGCTTCAGAGAACCTCCCTCTTCTCTTGATATTAGCTTCAGAGAAACTCCTCTTCATGATATTTGCTTCAGAGAACTTCTCCTCTTCATGATATTTGCTTCAGAGAAACACCTCTTCATGATATTTGCTTCAGAGAAAATCCTCTTCCTGGATATTTGCTTCAGAGAAACTCCTCTTCATGATATTTGCTTCAGAGGAAACTCCTCTTCATGATATTTGCTTCAGAGAAACCCCTCTTCATGCATATTAGCTTCAGAGAACACTACCTCTTTCAGGATATTTTTGTTCCATAGAGAAAATCTCCTCTTCCATGATATGTAGCTTCAGAAGAAACTCCTCTTCATGATATTTGCTTTTTTTATTTTTCCCAAAGGAAAGAAACTCCTCTTCATGATATTTTGCTTCAGAGAACACTCCTCTTGCATGGATTATTTGCTTACAGAGAAACTCTCTCTCTTCAATGATTATTAGTCTTCAGATAGAAACTCCTCTTCATGATAATTTGCTTCAGAGAACCATCCTCTTGCATGATATTTGCTTCAGAGAAAATACTCCTCCTTCATGATATTTGCTTCAGAGAAACTCCTCTTCATGATATTATGCTTCAGAAGAAACTCCCTCTACAGGATATTTGCTTCAGAGAAACTCCTCTTCATGATATTTGCTTCGGGGGGGAGAGAAACTCCTCTTCATGATATTAAGCCTTCCTGGAGAAACTCCTCTTCATGATATTTGCTTCAGAGAGAACTCCTCTTGCATGATATTTGCTTCCTGACGTCTGTATCTAACAGACATGATGGTGACATAAATGCGGGCGTCATGTAACGAAGGCTTCACGGTGACCTAGCAGATTAGCGACATTAGCCTTCCGGTTGGCAGTGGGCTCAAAAGGGACAGTGTCCCTCTGTCTCTGGCTGCTTTTACACGGAGCCACTTTCCTGATTGGACACAAGCAAAATACATTTAAAACTCAGGTAAAGGACAGTTCTGTTTAGCAGTGCTATCAACTGAGGGATTTTATATTTTTATCATTTCCTTTTTTAATTTTCTGTGATTATTTATGATGTTAATATTTCTTATTTGTGGTTCCCTGCACTTTGAAATTGTGCTATACAAATAAACTTGCCTTGCCTACTGCCCATTACTTACTCTCTACACTTCTACTGCAACAGAAACCTAAACTCCCAAGACTCTAACACTGGACCCAAGACTAACACTGGACCCAAGACTAACACTGGACCCAAGACTAACACTGGACCCAAGACTAACACTGGACCCAAGACTAACACTGGACCCAAGACTAACACTGGACCCAAGACTAACACTGGACCCAAGACTAACACTGGACCCAAGACTAACACTGGACCCAAGACTAACACTGGACCCAAGACTAACACTGGACCCAAGACTAACACTGGGATGGAGCTGATCACAGCCAGGGTCAGGGTCAGGGGCCTCACTCTGGACCAGGACCCCACTCAGTCCCTCACTCTGGACCAGGACCCACTCAGTCCCTCACTCTGGACCAGGACCCACTCAGTCCCTCACTCTGGACCAGGACCCACTCAGTCCCTCACTCTGGACCAGGACTGACTCAGTCCCTCACTCTGGACCAGGACCCACTCAGTCCCTTACTCTGGACCAGGACCCACTCAGTCCCTCACTCTGGACCAGGACCCACTCAGTCCCTCACTCTGGACCAGGACTGACTCAGTCCCTCACTCTGGACCAGGACCCACTCAGTCCCTCACTCTGGACCAGGACCCACTCAGTCCCTCACTCTGGACCAGGACCCACTCAGTCCCTCACTCTGGACCAGGACCCACTCAGTCCCTCACTCTGGACCAGGACTGACTCAGTCCCTCACTCTGGACCAGGACCCACTCAGTCCCTCACTCTGGACCAGGACCCACTCAGTCCCTCACTCTGGACCAGGACCGACTCCGTCCCTCACTCTGGACCAGGACCCACTCAGTCCCTCACTCTGGACCAGGACCCACTCAGTCCCTCACTCTGGACCAGGACCCACTCAGTCCCTTACACTGGACCAGGACCCACTCAGTCCCTCACTCTGGACCAGGACCCACTCAGTCCCTCACTCTGGACCAGGACTGACTCAGTCCCTCACTCTGGACCAGGACCCATTCAGTCCCTCACTCTGGACCAGGACCCACTCAGTCCCTCACTCTGGACCAGGACCCACTCAGTCCCTCACTCTGGACCAGGACCCATTCAGTCCCTCACTCTGGACCAGGACCCACTCAGTCCCTCACTCTGGACCAGGACCCACTCAGTCCCTCACTCTGGACCAGGACCCACTCAGTCCCTTACACTGGACCAGGACCCACTCAGTCCCTCACTCTGGACCAGGACCCACTCAGTCCCTCACTCTGGACCAGGACTGACTCAGTCCCTCACTCTGGACCAGGACCCATTCAGTCCCTCACTCTGGACCAGGACCCACTCAGTCCCTCACTCTGGACCAGGACCCATTCAGTCCCTCACTCTGGACCAGGACCCACTCAGTCCCTCACTCTGGACCAGGACTGACTCAGTCCCTCACTCTGGACCAGGACCCACTCAGTCCCTCACTCTGGACCAGGACTGACTCAGTCCCTCACTCTGGACCAGGAGCCACTCAGTCCCTCACTCTGGACCAGGACTGACTCAGTCCCTCACTCTGGACCAGGACTGACTCAGTCCCTCACTCTGGACCAGGACCCACTCAGTCCCTCACTCTGGACCAGGACCCACTCAGTCCCTCACTCTGGACCAGGACCCACTCAGTCCCTCACTCTGGACCAGGACCCACTCAGTCCCTCACTCTGGACCAGGACTGACTCAGTCCCTCACTCTGGACCAGGAGCCACTCAGTCCCTCACTCTGGACCAGGACTGACTCAGTCCCTCACTCTGGACCAGGACTGACTCAGTCCCTCACTCTGGACCAGGACCCACTCAGTCCCTCACTCTGGACCAGGACTGACTCAGTCCCTCACTCTGGACCAGGACCCACTCAGTCCCTCACTCTGGACCAGGACTGACTCAGTCCCTCACTCTGGACCAGGACCCACTCAGTCCCTCACTCTGGACCAGGACCCACTCAGTCCCTCACTCTGGACCAGGACCGACTCAGTCCCTCACTCTGGACCAGGACCCACTCAGTCCCTCACTCTGGACCAGGACCCACTCAGTCCCTCACTCTGGACCAGGACCCACTCAGTCCCTCACTCTGGACCAGGACTGACTCAGTCCCTCACTCTGGACCAGGACCCACTCAGTCCCTCACTCTGGACCAGGGACTGACTCAGTCCCTCACTCTGGACCAGGACCCACTCAGTCCCTCACTCTGGACCAGGACCCACTCAGTCCCTCACTCTGGACCAGGACCCACTCAGTCCCTCACTCTGGACCAGGACCCACTCAGTCCCTCACTCTGGACCAGGACCCACTCAGTCCCTCACTCTGGACCAGGACCCACTCAGTCCCTCACTCTGGACCAGGACCCACTCAGTCCCTCACTCTGGACCAGGATTAGGGCTTGTTCTGAAATCTGAAAAGAGAAATGAAGATCCATCTGGATTTAACTTGTTTTAGCTGAAAGGAACAGGGAGCTGAGACCCAGGGTTAGGGATATTGAGGCTGTAGACCCAGGACTGAGGCTGTAGACCCAGGACTGAGGCTGTAGACCCAGGACTGAGGCTGTAGACCCAGGACTGAGGCTGTAGACCCAGGACTGAGGCTGTAGACCTCTATAGTCTTACATGTGTCTTCTGTCATGTTTAGCCCCCGTCAGGCCAGATCAATGCCCAGCCTGACACGTCTGCAGCTAAAGTTTATTAAACCCGGCCCCCCCCAGGGCCCCCCAGGGCTCATAATCCCATCTCAAATTAAACATAAGAAAATTGCTCTGGGAGAGGGGCTTTCTTAACACCTCTCCACAACAGCTATTTATTACACACTAATCTACACGCTCTGACCCGTGCTGTGGATAAACATTTGATTAAAGCGCTCAGCTAAATGCTAATGTGCGGCGATATTAACCGGAGGGTAGACGTCATAAAACAGCCGGGCATCATGGGAATCATGGGCAAAGACGGGGGCGCTCACTCCGACAGGACTTTCCACACATCACAAAAAAACAAAAACATCACAATTGTCTGAAGATTTGGGATTTTAGGAGTACTTTTCTGGCTTCTCTTCAAAAATACATTGTGCTGTTACTGATCTACACACTTCTGGATAAAAGTACTACATAATAATAAACTTAACTTTCATAAATACTCATTACAGGCTAATTTTTTGGTTTGATTCTAAACAGAGATATACAGAGTTCAATTTAAAGCTGGGGGACCTCACTTTGTAACCAAAAGAGCACTAATCTGAAACTAGCCGAGTTTCTGCGTTCTCTAAACTAACATTAGACTGAGGCCCGGTTGATCCGGAGGCGCTGCGCAGACGCTGCTATGAACAGAAAACAGCTCATTATGAACAGCGTTCATACGAGGATCAAAAACCATGTAGTTCTAGCGCCCGGCCAGTAGGGGGCAGAGGAACATTACAACACGACACACGTGAGCCCCAGCCCCCCCCAGCAGTATACTCACTTCCTCAACAACATCCTCCTCAGGCGCCGCAAAGATGGGAAAGAACCAACTTCATTCTTTAACAGCAGCTGTGAACCTGAACCTAGAGCTCCGCGTGGTCTCGTTTGGACCAAGGAGTAGAATCCTCCTCCGTTAGCGAAGCACACGTAGCTAGTTAGCTACCAGCCGCCATTGTTGTTTACGTTTATTCTACTGCACATGTCCAAATGTACGTGCGGGGAGCAGCGGGAGGTGCGGGTCAGAGCAGAACACCTTTTCAGGCGGGTGTGAAAGAGCGCCCCCTGCTGAGCATCTGATCTGTCCCACTCTGAGGCTGGAGCTGAACACTTATGTTTTCACCTGGAACAGTCTCCATGGAAACGGGAGGCGGCAACCGACATCAACTGTAGTTTTACTGCTGCTCCGTCTAAACCAGACCGAGACTGAGACGAGCCCGAGACGAGCCCGAGACGAGCCCGAGACGAGCCCGAGACGAGCCCGAGACGAGACTGAGACGAGCCCGAGACGAGACTGAGACGTGACTGAGACGAGACTGAGACGAGACTGGGACGAGACTGAGACGAGACCGAGACGAGCCCGAGACGAGACCGAGACGAGACTGAGACGTGACTGAGACGAGACTGAGACGAGACTGAGACGAGACTGGGACGAGACTGAGACGTGACTGAGACGAGACCGAGACGAGACCGGGACGAGACTGGGACGAGACTGAGACGTGACTGAGACGAGCCCGAGACGAGACTGAGACGTGACTGAGACGAGACTGGGACGAGACTGAGACGTGACTGAGACGTGACTGAGACGAGACTGAGACGAGACTGAGACGTGACTGAGACGAGACTGGGACGAGACTGAGACGTGACTGAGACGAGCCCGAGACGAGACTGAGACGTGACTGAGACGAGACTGGGACGAGACTGAGACGTGACTGAGACGTGACTGAGACGAGACTGAGACGAGCCCGAGACGAGCCCGAGACGAGCCCGAGACGAGACCGAGACGAGACTGAGACGTGACTGAGACGTGACTGAGACGAGACTGAGACGAGACTGGGACGAGACTGAGACGTGACTGAGACGAGACCGAGACGAGACCGGGACGAGACTGGGACGAGACTGAGACGTGACTGAGACGAGCCCGAGACGAGCCCGAGACGAGCCCGAGACGAGCCCGAGACGAGACCGAGACGAGACTGAGACGTGACTGAGACGAGCCTGAGACGAGACTGGGACGAGACTGAGACGAGACTGAGACGAGACCGAGACGAGACCGGGACGAGACTGGGACGAGACTGAGACGTGACTGAGACGAGCCTGAGACGAGCCCGAGACGAGCCCGAGACGAGACCGAGAAGAGACTGAGACGAGCCCGAGACGAGCCTGAGACGAGCCTGCGACGAGCCTGAGACGAGCCTGAGACGAGCCCGAGACGAGCCCGAGACGAGACCAAGACGAGACTGAGACGAGCCCGAGACGAGCCTGAGACGAGACTGAGACGAGACTGAGACGAGCCCGAGACGAGCCTGAGACGAGACTGAGACGAGCCTGAGACGAGACTGAGACGAGCCTGAGACGAGCCTGGGACGAGACTGAGACGAGCCCGAGACGAGCCCGAGACGAGCCCGAGACGAGCCCGAGACGAGCCCGAGACGAGCCCGAGACGAGCCCGAGACGAGACTGAGACGAGACTGGGACGAGACAGAGACGTGACTGAGACGTGACTGAGACGAGACTGAGACGAGCCCGAGACGAGCCCGAGACGAGCCCGAGACGAGACCGAGACGAGACTGAGACGTGACTGAGACGAGACTGAGACGAGACTGAGACGAGACTGGGACGAGACTGAGACGTGACTGAGACGAGACCGAGACGAGACCGGGACGAGACTGGGACGAGACTGAGACGTGACTGAGACGAGCCCGAGACGAGACTGAGACGTGACTGAGACGAGACTGGGACGAGACTGAGACGTGACTGAGACGTGACTGAGACGAGACTGAGACGAGACTGAGACGTGACTGAGACGAGACTGGGACGAGACTGAGACGTGACTGAGACGAGCCCGAGACGAGACTGAGACGTGACTGAGACGAGACTGGGACGAGACTGAGACGTGACTGAGACGTGACTGAGACGAGACTGAGACGAGCCCGAGACGAGCCCGAGACGAGCCCGAGACGAGACCGAGACGAGACTGAGACGTGACTGAGACGTGACTGAGACGAGACTGAGACGAGACTGGGACGAGACTGAGACGTGACTGAGACGAGACCGAGACGAGACCGGGACGAGACTGGGACGAGACTGAGACGTGACTGAGACGAGCCCGAGACGAGCCCGAGACGAGCCCGAGACGAGCCCGAGACGAGACCGAGACGAGACTGAGACGTGACTGAGACGAGCCTGAGACGAGACTGGGACGAGACTGAGACGAGACTGAGACGAGACCGAGACGAGACCGGGACGAGACTGGGACGAGACTGAGACGTGACTGAGACGAGCCTGAGACGAGCCCGAGACGAGCCCGAGACGAGACCGAGATGAGACTGAGACGAGCCCGAGACGAGCCTGAGACGAGCCTGGGACGAGCCTGAGACGAGCCTGAGACGAGCCCGAGACGAGCCCGAGACGACGAGACCGAGACGAGCCCGAGACGAGCCTGAGACGAGACTGAGACGAGACTGAGACGAGCCCGAGACGAGCCTGAGACGAGACTGAGACGAGCCTGAGACGAGACTGAGACGAGCCTGAGACGAGCCTGGGACGAGACTGAGACGAGCCCGAGACGAGCCCGAGACGAGCCCGAGACGAGCCTGAGACGAGCCCGAGACGAGCCTGAGACGAGACTGAGACGAGACTGAGACGAGCCTGAGACGAGCCTGAGACGAGCCCGAGACGAGCCCGAGACGAGACCAAGACGAGACTGAGACGAGCCCGAGACGAGCCTGAGACGAGACTGAGACGAGACTGAGACGAGCCCGAGACGAGCCTGAGACGAGACTGAGACGAGCCTGAGACGAGACTGAGACGAGCCTGAGACGAGCCTGGGACGAGACTGAGACGAGCCCGAGACGAGCCCGAGACGAGCCCGAGACGAGCCTGAGACGAGCCCGAGACGAGACCGAGACGAGACCGAGACGAGACCGAACATTAGACTCAGTTGTGTTGCTGGATCACACATGAGAACATTGCATATCACTCATAGTCCACCTTTTCCCTCCTCAGCTCATTTCAGCAGATTTTTCACTTCCAGGAAACTTGTGGGAAACTTGTATACAATACAATACGGTACGGTACGGTACGGTACGGTACGGTACGGTACAATACAATACAGTACGGTACAGTACAGTACAGTACAATACACTACAGTACAGTACAATACAGTACAGTACAGTACAGTACAATACAATACGGTACAGTACAGTACAATACAGTACAGTACAGTACAGTACAATACAGTACAGTACAATACAATACGGTACGGTACGGTACAGTACAATACAGTACGGTACAGTACAGTACAATACAGTACAGTACAGTACAGTACAATACAATACGGTACGGTACAGTACAGTACAGTACAATACAATACGGTACGGTACAGTACAATACAGTACGGTACGGTACAGTACAGTACAGTACAATACAATACGGTACGGTACGGTACAGTACAATACAGTACGGTACAGTACAGTACAGTACAATACAGTACGGTACGGTACAGTACAATACAATACGGTACGGTACGGTACAGTACAATACAATGTATTCTTGTATAGCCCTAGGTCACAACCATAGACTGTATATAATAATGGACAGAGTCACGCCTATCTCCTCCGTTCATAGGAGTTGGCCATGAAAAGTGCTTTCATGGAGCAATCCAAAATGGCCGCAACAGTTAAAACACAGTGTCCATACATGTCGTAGAATGCTAAAGTGTTATAACATAACATACAGCATAATATACAACAAAATACACAACATAATACATATATTGTATAATATATAACATAATATATAACATAATACAGCATACATATATAATATATACACCATATATTATATATTACCTAATTATATGTTAAATGAAAGTAGAGTGCTTTAAGCCTGGCCTTGAATGTGGAGACCGTATCTGCTTCCTTAACATAAATGAAGCTGATTCCACAGTAAAGGAGCTTGGTAGCTAAATGCTCTGCCACCAACAGTGACCTTTGAGACCTTAGGGACCACCAGACGTCTGGCGTTTTGTGAGCGCAACGCTCGACCTGGTTGATACGACACTAACGTGTCTTGGAGATAAGAAGGAGCCAAGCCATTTATGGCTTTATATGTTAAGAGAAGGATTTTAAATATATTAAAATATATTTACTCAAATATATTTATTCAAATATATCTATTAAAAGATATTTATTAGAATATATTTATTAAAAGATATTTATTAAAAGATATTTATGTGTATCCGTGTCTCAGGTATGCCTCTGCACGTGCGGCGCAGCAGTGACCCCTCCCTTGCAGACATTCAGGGGGTGCCAGAAGAACCCTCCAGGAAGAACCCCTCCCGCTGGTCCACAACGCCCAACTTCCACAAGTACAGCCTCAAAGTCACCTCCAGCACCGGAGCCGGGCCTGGTACCGGGTCCAGCAGTCTGGAGAGGAAGGTACGAGGATCACACCTGAGGAACCAGAGTTAGAGTTACATTCTGATGAAATGGTTTACTGGTCTAGGTCTACAGGTCTACAGGTCTACAAAGTCCACAGGTCTGGGTCTACAGGTCTACAGGTCCACAGGGTCTACAGGTCTACAGGTCTACAGGTCTACAGGTCCACAGGGTCTACAGGTCTACAGGTCCACAGGTCTACAGGTCTGGTTCTACAGGTCCACAGGTCTACAGGTCCACAGGTCTACAGGTCTGGGTCTACAGGTCTACAGGTCTACAGGTCTACAAAGTCCACAGGTCTGGGTCTACAGGTCTACAGGTCCACAGGGTCTACAGGTCTACAAAGTCCACAGGTCTGGGTCTACAGGTCTACAGGTCCACAGGGTCTACAGGTCTACAGGTCTACAGGTCTACAGGTCCACAGGGTCTACAGGTCCACAGGGTCTACAGGTCTACAGGTCTACAGGTCTACAGATCCACAGGGTCTACAGGTCCACAGGTCCACAGGTCCACAGGGTCTACAGGTCCACAGGTCCACAGGTCTACAGGTCTGGGTCTACAGGTCCACAGGTCTACAGGTCCACAGGTCCACAGGGTCTACAGGTCCACAGGTCTACAGGTCTACAGGTCTACAGGTCTACAGGTCTACAAAGTCCACAGGTCTGGGTCTACAGGTCTACAGGTCCACAGGGTCTACAGGTCTACAGGTCTACAGGTCTGGGTCTACAGGTCTACAGGTCCACAGGGTCTACAGGTCTACAGGTCTACAGGTCTACAGATCCACAGGGTCTACAGGTCCACAGGTCCACAGGTCCACAGGGTCTACAGGTCCACAGGTCCACAGGTCTACAGGTCTGGGTCTACAGGTCCACAGGTCTACAGGTCCACAGGTCCACAGGGTCTACAGGTCCACAGGTCTACAGGTCTACAGGTCCACAGGTCTACAGGTCTGGGTCTACAGGTCCACAGGTCTACAGGTCCACAGGTCTACAGGTCTGGGTCTACAGGTCCACAGGTCTACAGGTCCACAGGGTCCACAGGTCCACAGGTCCACAGGTCCACAGGTCCACAGGTCTACAGGTCCACAGGTCTACAGGTCCACAGGGTCCACAGGTCTACAGGTCCACAGGTCTACAGGTCCACAGGGTCCACAGGTCCACAGGTCCACAGGTCTACAGGTCCACAGGTCTACAGGTCCACAGGTCTACAGGTCCACAGGGTCCACAGGTCCACAGGTCCACAGGTCCACAGGTCCACAGGTCCACAGGTCTACAGGTCTACAGGTCTACAGGTCCACAGGGTCTACAGGTCTACAGGTCTACAGGTCTACAGGTCTGGGTCTACAGGTCTACAGCAATCGGAGGACTTCATTTGTGAGAGAAACTCCGCCTCGCCTTAGCAACCGCCTTAGCAACCGTCTTAGCAACCGCCTTAGCGACCGTCTTAGCAACCGCCTTGGCGACCGCCTTAGCAAACGCCTTAACAACCGTCTTAGCTACCGTCTAGCTACCGTCTTAGCAACCGTCTTAGCAACCGTCTTAGCAACCGCCTTAGCAAACGCCTTAGCAACCGTCTTAGCTACCGTCTAGCTACCGTCTTAGCTACCGTCTAGCTACCGTCTTAGCAACCGTCTTAGCAACCGTCTTAGCAACCGCCTTAGCAACACATCTCTCCCTGTTACTGCACAGAGCTAGCATCGTGACTTGCTCGGTGCAAAGTTGTGATAATATTTCTTTCCTTTGATAAAACAGTTGCCAAAGGTCCACAAGTCCACAGGGTCTACCGGTCTACAGGTCTACAGGTCCACAGGTCCATAGGGTCTACAGGTCCACAGGTCCACAGGTCCACAGGGTCTACAGGTCCACAGGTCCACAGGTCTACAGGTCTGGGTCTACAGATCCACAGGTCTACAGGTCCACAGGGTCCACAGGGTCTACAGGTCCACAGGTCTACAGGTCTACAGGTCCACAGGTCTACAGGTCTACAGGTCCACAGGTCCACAGGGTCTACAGGTCCACAGGTCCACAGGGTCTACAGGTCCACAGGTCCACAGGTCTACAGGTCTGGGTCTACAGGTCCACAGGTCTACAGGTCCACAGGGTCCACAGGTCCACAGGTCCACAGGTCCACAGGTCCACAGGTCCACAGGTCCACAGGTCTACAGGTCCACAGGTCTACAGGTCCACAGGGTCCACAGGTCTACAGGTCCACAGGTCTACAGGTCCACAGGGTCCACAGGTCCACAGGTCTACAGGTCCACAGGGTCCACAGGTCCACAGGTCTACAGGTCCACAGGTCCACAGGTCCACAGGTCCACAGGTCCACAGGTCCACAGGTCCACAGGTCCACAGGTCCACAGGTCCACAGGTCTACAGGTCCACAGGGTCCACAGGTCCACAGGTCCACAGGTCCACAGGTCCACAGGTCCACAGGGTCCACAGGTCCACAGGTCCACAGGTCCACAGGTCCACAGGTCCACAGGTCTACAGGTCTACAGGTCCACAGGTCTACAGGTCCACAGGTCCACAGGTCCACAGGTCCGGGTCCACAGGTCTGGGTCCACAGGTCTGGGTCTACAGCGGTACAGTTCAGTGTGTTCACAGACAGGACACAGTTCATGAAAACATAAACTTTCAGAAGCTGCTTCTCCACAAACTCATCGTCTTCATCCTTTAATATTCTTCAGTTTTATTCAAATCACTTCGATAACAACGACCTTGGGCTCGTGTGAGTTAATGCTCTGACATCACCGTGGTGCTTTTGGAGACGTGTGAGTTAATGCTCTGACATCACCGTGGTGCTTTTGGAGACGTGTGAGTTAATGCTCTGACATCACCGTGGTGCTTTTGGAGACGTGTGTGTTAATGCTCTGACATCACCGTGGTGCTTTTGGAGACGTGTGAGTTAATGCTCTGACATCACCGTGGTGCTTTTGGAGACGTGTGAGTTAATGCTCTGACATCACCGTGGTGCTTTTGGAGACGTGTGAGTTAATGCTCTGACATCACCGTGGTGCTTTTGGAGACGTGTGAGTTAATGCTCTGACATCACCGTGGTGCTTTTGGAGACGTGTGTGTTAATGCTCTGACATCACCGTGGTGCTTTTGGAGACGTGTGAGTTAATGCTCTGACATCACCGTGGTGGTCTTTTGGGACGTGTGAGTTAATGCTCTGACATCACCGTGGTGCTTTTGGAGACGTGTGAGTTAATGCTCTGACATCACCGTGGTGCTTTTGGAGACGTGTGTGTTAATGCTCTGACATCACCGTGGTGCTTTTGGAGACGTGTGTGTTAATGCTCTGACATCACCGTGGTGCTTTTGGAGACGTGTGTGTTAATGCTCTGACATCACCGTGGTGCTTTTGGAGACGTGTGAGTTAATGCTCTGACATCACCGTGGTGCTTTTGGAGACGTGTGTGTTAATGCTCTGACATCACCGTGGTGCTTTTGGAGACGTGTGTGTTAATGCTCTGACATCACCGTGGTGCTTTTGGAGACGTGTGTGTTAAAGCTCTGACATCACCGTGGTGCTTTTGGAGACGTGTGTGTTAATGCTCTGACATCACCGTGGTGCTTTTGGAGACGTGTGGTTAATGCTCTGACATCACCGTGGTGCTTTTGGAGACGTGTGAGTTAATGCTCTGACATCACCGTGGTGCTTTTGGAGACGTGTGAGTTAATGCTCTGACATCACCGTGGTGCTTTTGGAGACGTGTGAGTTAATGCTCTGACATCACCGTGGTGCTTTTGGAGACGTGTGAGTTAATGCTCTGACATCACCGTGGTGCTTTTGGAGACGTGTGAGTTAATGCTCTGACATCACCGTGGTGCTTTTGGAGACGTGTGTGTTAATGCTCTGACATCACCGTGGTGCTTTTGGAGACGTGTGAGTTAATGCTCTGACATCACGTGGTGCTTTTGGAGACGTGTGTGTTAATGCTCTGACATCACCGTGGTGCTTTTGGAGACGTGTGAGTTAATGCTCTGACATCACCGTGGTGCTTTTGGAGACGTGTGAGTTAATGCTCTGACATCACCGTGGTGCTTTTGGAGACGTGTGAGTTAATGCTCTGACATCACCGTGGTGCTTTTGGAGACGTGTGAGTTAATGCTCTGACATCACCGTGGTGCTTTTGGAGACGTGTGAGTTAATGCTCTGACATCACCGTGGTGCTTTTGGAGACGTGTGAGTTAATGCTCTGACATCACCGTGGTGCTTTTGGAGACGTGTGTGTTAATGCTCTGACATCACCGTGGTGCTTTTGGAGACGTGTGTGTTAATGCTCTGACATCACCGTGGTGCTTTTGGAGACGTGTGTGTTAATGCTCTGACATCACCGTGGTGCTTTTGGAGACGTGTGAGTTAATGCTCTGACATCACCGTGGTGCTTTTGGAGACGTGTGTGTTAATGCTCTGACATCACCGTGGTGCTTTTGGAGACGTGTGTGTTAATGCTCTGACATCACCGTGGTGCTTTTGGAGACGTGTGTGTTAATGCTCTGACATCACCGTGGTGCTTTTGGAGACGTGTGTGTTAATGCTCTGACATCACCGTGGTGCTTTTGGAGACGTGTGAGTTAATGCTCTGACATCACCGTGGTGCTTTTGGAGACGTGTGAGTTAATGCTCTGACATCACCGTGGTGCTTTTGGAGACGTGTGAGTTAATGCTCTGACATCACCGTGGTGCTTTTGGAGACGTGTGAGTTAATGCTCTGACATCACCGTGGTGCTTTTGGAGACGTGTGTGTTAATGCTCTGACATCACCGTGGTGCTTTTGGAGACGTGTGAGTTAATGCTCTGACATCACCGTGGTGCTTTTGGAGACGTGTGTGTTAATGCTCTGACATCACCGTGGTGCTTTTGGAGACGTGTGAGTTAATGCTCTGACATCACCGTGGTGCTTTTGGAGACGTGTGAGTTAATGCTCTGACATCACCGTGGTGCTTTTGGAGACGTGTGAGTTAATGCTCTGACATCACCGTGGTGCTTTTGGA